TTTTAAGGGGGTTACTAGGAGTTTCTATTATAGCCCAACTGAGGACTATTATAACCTTACGTTCTAAACCCGTGTTAAATCGTGGAACTTGAAGTAAGCTACGGCAGGAAGGAAGCAGTATTATGTACTAGATACCTACATTATCATTATTATGGCTTACGTCAGGTTCCGCCCAGAAGAGCCAAGGTTTTCCTGGGTGTTGATTCCTGTCGTTATCCTCTGGTGCATGACAGCCCCGGTCCTGAAGCACGGCTTTCGAGCGGATGAGGACGTTGCGAATGCTGCAGGCTACTATGCAATGGCGGCTGGATGCAAGCAGCAAGGTTGGAGCTATTGTGGTGCATGGACAAAGGATGATTTGCAGAGGAAGGCAATTTATGAAGCAGTGGTCTTGGTGGTGTTGGTGGTGGTTTTTGTTTAAATTCAGGTGGTAGCTTGCATGGCCATTGCATTGGTACAGATACTAGAAGTCGAGCGGGTGTTGGAGGTCTGTCACGGCAAGCAGTGTAGAGTTTGCGGGGTATCAGCTGACGCCCTATGATGGCCTTACGGACTAAGTGGAAATGATAGAAGCATGTTTAAACATGCAGGGCCTAATGTCAGAAAATATACCAGTTGGGTTCACGCTTTGAATGTCCTGATTTAACCTACAGGCAACCCGGCCCTTGATCTAGATGATTTGTTATACCCAGCCAAGAACTCCACCATAATAGTCATTCTCACCAGTTGTAACGCTTGACAAGTAAGTAGGCTCCCTAATCCCTAGTAATAGTACGAACAGCAATAATGATACTGATAAGAGTAGGTACTAGTAAATGAACACTAGTAACGAGGATGATCTGGGGTTTCCAAACCTGGGGTCCCCCGGATCTATCCCAATCTACTGGGTTTCGCGTGCATAGCTGAATGTGGTGGCAAAACCAAGGACTATACCATCATTTGTTTTTGAGAAGCTCGGGTATGGGGTATTTGCAGAAGTTGTTGCCCTTCTGTTCTGCTACGCAAGAATCCTCTAGCCCCAGAACCACAAGCAATGCCTGCAGCTAGATGATTTGGTATTCTTTCCTTAAGATCCTCGTATATTTTACGTGCAATATAAGCTAGCGCAGGCCGTATTCTAATTTACTGGCTCTACATCCAACTTGAAGCCCCAACCCATGTAAATCATCACAGCGCATCCTGCTGCAAACTCCACCCACCAGGCTGCTGGCTGTTCGTGCTGGTTATGATTACCACCTATTTGAGCTATAGTCTAAA